CGCGGAACAAATCCAGATAGCACGCAGATAACCGGGGTCCACACCGTTTCAGATTCGAATTTCAAGGCCCTTCGGCCCGCATGCCGTTTCAGGCCTGGGTCCACCGTTTCAGATTCGAATTTCAAGGCCCTGTGGCCCGCACACCGTTTCAATTTTTTTGGGACTGCGGGGTTCCCAGGAAAATGCCACGGACAGCTACCCGTCCTGGATCTGCTTGAACTGCCGCCCCCCCCCCAAATGCCAGTGCCGTTCATTTTACCAGCCTTTGAACGACCAATGGGCCCGAATGAACGACCGGTATAACGAACGACGAAAATGTCTCAGGGGCATAAAACGCACCCCTGACAGGCTGCGAACAGGTGCTGGACCCATGGTCAGCTGCCGGAGGTAGCATCTTGGGACGGTCCTGCCAAAATAGATCATCATTGGAGCCGTATAGGTATAGGGCCTGTAAGTTCTTAGGGCGCATTAGGCGCAAAAACGCGCAAGCGCGCGCGCGTGCTCCAAAGCGCGCTTATATTCAAACCCTTCGAACGCGCGCTTATATTCAAACCATTCCAGCACTTCCAGCAGCCGTTCGAAGAGCGCGGCTCCTCGTCTCTGTGCCCCTCCGTCAGCGCTGGCGGACGCGCGCAGGAACGGGCGTTAATTCAAATCTTGCGATCGCGCCCTTCCAGTGCGCGGCAAACGGACACGCCTCTGTACACACACACATGCGCGGCCGTGCATACACCCACCCACCCACACACACACACACACACAGAGAGAGAGAGAGAGAGAGAGAGAGAGAGAGAGAGAGAGAGAGAGAGAGAGAGAGAGAGAGAGAGAATCCGTCTGTTCGCAGAGGAGCGTCGGATGGTGAGTAGCATCTTCTCCCTGCGCGTCCCCGTCGTCCTCACCGTGTATCATCATCATCATGCTCGTCATAATCTATGGTTTCGTTCTCCTTCTTTCCCCCCCTTCATCTCTCGTCATCCTACCGGTAATAACCCTCCTTACGGCAATTTTGAATGCATGGAAATGGGTCCAAGAGGTGTCCGATAAGTAGATAGATATAAGAGGGAAAAAAAATAAAAAATGATATAAGCGGCGGGGCCAGTTTGAGCGTCTCTGCGCTCGTCGCCTCTCGTTTCCGCATCATAATCACCCTCGCGCCCGCCTACCTAGCGCCGGACTGGTGGCATGCAAATGTGAGTCAGTTGTCGTCTCCGCCGCAATACTCGACCAATTGTGAAAACGACCGTAAGTATGCCGGGCGTTTTTTTTTTTTTTTTTTCGTTTTTCGAAAACTTATTGTTAGTAGTTTTTAACTTTTTATGTTCCACCTTCTACCGCAAGATACTACACTCACTCTCTCCATTTTGCTCACTTTTTTGGTTCGTTGTGCGGCGACGCTCTAACGTTTTTTTTTTTTTTTTTTTTTTTTTCCCCGTTGTTTCCCCTCCTTAGCTAGGAGGGGAAGGAGTGTGTAATTTACTCTATCTCCTCCATATTTTTACTCATTCGGAACGCTCCTCCTCCACGTCGTCCATCCCTTACATGCCTTTTTTCCGCAACGTCACCAGTCAGGCAACCAATCATTGAATTTATGTTCAATCAGGTCATTCAGTCCGTCCATGTGTCCCGGCAGTCAGCCAATCATTTTTTATTTTTTTTTTCCGTTTTATTCTTTGTTGTTGACCCAATCAATCGTTCTACTCTGCCACGAAGGTGCAAGCAATTACAGTAGTAACCCATTGAACCCCATTGCGAATCCCCCGCCCCCCGGCCCCCGCCCACCCACATATCCGCACTCACGCTCCCAACCAGTGGCAAAGCGTTGACTGGAACACCTGTTTCCAGCGGGGAAGGAGCGTCGAGCTCATCGAAGGGAGGAGGAGGAGGAGGGAGGAGGAGGGAGGAGGAGGAGGAGAAGGGAGGAGAAGGAGGAGGAGGGGGGAGGAGGAGGAGGAGGAGGGAGAAGACGCCACGTGGAGGAAGGAGAGGGACCTCCGAGCGACTTGCGTGCGGCTAAAAGCAGTAGTATTTAATCATGGGAAATGAAAAAGGGGAAGGGGGGGAGGGATATATCGTTGCAGTTGGCTTTTTGTTGCAGATTACGAGGAAGACGGGGGAGTAGCACTCCACTTGAACTTTGCCAAAACGAAAAGAAAAGAAAAGAAGAGAAGGGGAGGAGGTGGAGGAGTGGGAGAAGGAGGTGGAGGCGCAGGAGTGAGTACAAGCAGTAAGAGGGCAGGAGGGTGAGTGGTGCAAAAAACCCCAAAAAAAAGAGGAGAAAAAAGTGCCATTAGTAACAGAGAGAAAAGGGAGACGGACATGGTAAATGGGAGGCGGAAAACAGCATCCGGCCCCAGAGAAGCGCAAACAATGACAAAGGGAGAAGAATCAACTCTCTCTCTCTCTCTCTCTCTCTCTCTCTCTCTCTCTCTCTCTCTCTCTCTCTCTCTCTCTCTCTCTCTTGCCTTTTATTTAGTCGGGATCGCAACTGGCAGTCTGAGAAGTTATGATGTACATGACCGCCGTCTCCAGCCAGGTGCATTCAGTAGAAGGTAGACGAGAACTTGCGCTTTTTTTTTTTCCCCCTCTCTTTTCCTTCTCTCAATTGCACCTTTCACTATCTAGCTACCACGACTCCTAAGCCTATACAGGGGACCCCTGCAAGCAAAATGCATCCCCTTAATTGTGAGAGCTTGCGCTTTTTCTGGTGGTGGTCCTTCTTTTCTTTTCCTTTGCTTCTGTACATGATTCCCCCCGTGCGTGCCAAAATGTTTGCCCGGGTAGACTGTGAGGACCCCAGCTTCTATCATTTTGATGCAATGAATGGACTATTTGAATTAAAAAAAAAAAAAATTGCCCGTCGCAGCAATTGTAACCCCTAACCCCCCACCCCTGCCCCCCGGAAAAAAAAAGAAAAAAAAACAACAAGGGGAAAAACGGTGTCCCTCGTCCTTGGGGACACCGCCTACAATTGGAGCAACAAGGAGAGAAGATTAGCATGGCCCCTGTGCTTTTTTTTTTTTTCTTTTTCTTTTTCTTTCTCCCCCCCCCCCCCCCCCCCCCCCCCCCCCCCCGCTCTAACCAAGTCTGATTATTTTTTCTTTTTTTTTTTTTTTTTTTTTTCCCCCCCCCCCCCCCCCCCCCCCCCCCGTCTTCTTAAACTAAGCTATATATTTTTTTTCCCCTTCCTTTATTCTTCTCTCATTTGTGATTTCAAGCACGACACGTATAAATGGCGATATAGACTATAGTCCAATTAAAAAAAAAAAAAGGGAACTTGGGATGGCCCCTGCGCAAGGATTTGGCGCATAAATAAAGAAACGGTCCCAATTATTTAAGAAAGAAAAGCGTGTCCCGTTCCCGTGAACTCTCCGGGTGTGAGTAAGCGACCGAAACCTTTTTTTTTTTTTTTTTTTTGCCTTTTTTCCATKTTTTTTTYTWTTTGGAAAAAATCGAGGCGAAAATCGAGCAAGCGCATCAGGACGACTTTTTTTTTTTTTTTTTTTTTTTCGGATTTTGTGTTTGCCGATGCATGCGCTTGGCATTCCGAGCAAGCATGACGTGGCGAGGCGTGGATTACATGACGTGACGTGGAAATGGGATGGCGTGGCATCGTTTGGCATCAATCAGACTAAGATCACCGCACGCCATTTCATATTGCAAGTTGGTATTCTTTTTGGACCGGACGCACGGTCATTATCGTCTGTATCTAGACTGGAAGTTGCCCCGACTACAGCTGTTCTGACAGTACGTTGTATTCGGGGAAGACGGTCGTCATTACGCTCACATACGGATCTAGAGGCCGTCAACCCTAAATCCTTTTCCTGTTCGCTGAAGCACTCAATGGGAGTATTCGAGGGAATTTTCCTTTAGAGGCTTTCCGGAAAGCCTCTAAAAGGAAATTGGAACCGTACAGAGAAGATTAGCACGATAGTTCGAGAAATGGTCCCAAAAAAGGAAAAAGGAAGGGGGCGGGGTGGGGGGCGGAAATTGAGGCAGTTAACTGTCAAGATCAGCCAATAGGGTGCTGCGCATTATTCCGCCCTCTTAGGGGGGGGAAGGGGGGGGGAGGGGGGGTGGTTAGCACGTTCCAAAATGCATCTGAACACGATTATGGCCAGACCTGAATGAATCTGGCCGCGATCAGGTTCAGAGCTCTATGACTTTACTAGGGGAGGTTGCTCTTACCAACCCCCATTGTAGGCTCCAGCTGGCTTCCTTGTGAATACATAAATAAAAACAATCCTAGTGTGTGTATGCGCTCAGTCGCTTCCCCCTTTTGTGCATTCTCAGGGAAGGGGGAAAGGAAACACGAAAAAGAAAGCGACTGGACGAGACGGGTGTGCCAGTGTGTGTGTGTGTGTGTGTGTGTGTGTGTGTGAGAGAGAGAGAGAGAGAGAGAGAGAGAGAGAGAGAGAGAGAGAGAGAGAACACATGTCCTTCTTGGGAGCTAACCCCATCCCTTTATTTGCAGCCACAGAAACTTTTTTTCTTCTTTCTATTGCTCCCAAAACAGTCTGCCATGAATGGTCTCTCAGTTGAGGAGACGCAATGGTATGGGACCTGAGCTCCACCGGCGACGGGTTCTCTGGTGGGCCCCGGGGCTAGGTCCCACTTGCACGAATTAAGAGACACTGACCGTAGATAGCAAAGATCAACGGCCGAAATCTCCTAATTTGCGCAAGTGGGACCTTGCCCCCGGAGCACCCGTGCCAGCCCAGCCCTTTGTTGCTATCCCAAGTCAAAGATACGGGCAGTGCTGGTCAAGCTTTGTTTTTTGGGGGGGTTGCCCCAAAACGATGGTAATCAGTGATGGGCAAGTTCTTTTTTTACCTTTTGTGTTTTGAAGAAACATCTGCAAGGGGCCTATTCGCGGAAGTTATAGGAGCAGCCTCGACGAATGATGGGCAAGTCCTTTTTTTTTTTTTTTTTTTTTTGGCAAGTTCTAACTCGCACATCCATAGCAATTTTTTTATTTATTTATTTTAAAGGGCGATGGCCTTGAGGTATTATCATCGGCTAACCAGCCCCGGTAAATTCAATCTTGTGTCTAATCTGACAACGGTGGCCTTTTCAGCCCAGCCAGGGGACAGTCTAATCTGACAGCGGTGGCCTTTTCAGCCCAGCCAGGGGGCAGCCGGTAGCAGAGGGACCGAGCATCATCTGAGTGGCCAGTCGCTGTGCCTCCCTGAGTACCCCTCCCCCTATGAACATCAGCAGAACCTGCTTTTTAAGCAGGGGCGGGTTTTCAAAAAAAAAAAAAAAAAAAAAAAAAAAG